CCACGGTCGAGATAAAGAGGAGGAAGAAAATGATGATAAATAGAATAAGAAGAAGAAAATGAATAGAATTCACATTGATACATGTTGATGGTATTCTATAAGTGATATGTGATCAATTATATTGTTGCAGAATTTAAAGTAAGAAAATTTATTTTTGAGTCACATTTTGCACTAAACTTCCACTAGTAGAGGTTGGACTTTGAAATACCCTGATTTCTATTGAATTCACCACACACTTTTTTCCTTGCATACAACTTACCATTACAAAACCTTTATATAATCTTGAAGAAAAATGACAGAGAAAACAATAAATTGGTAATCAAGATGAGGACTCTTTGGTTCTCTCAATCTAATGATGCAACTCTACCATAAATCTAAATTAAAAACAATAATTAACCCAAAGTGTTCAAAAAATAAAAATAAAAACAATAATTATAATGTGATGGTTACAATTTTCTCATAATGCTTACTAAAGATAGTTGTTATTACAACACATTAATTTTAACACTCTCCTTAATGCATTTCTCTTTAACTCCCATGGCTTCTCTAAGTTGCTGAAATCTTCCTCTTGATAATACTTTAGTAAAAAAATTTGCAAGCTACTCTTGTGAACTGTAGAAAGCTAACTGCACATCTCCTTCTTCAATCACACTTCGAATGAAGTGATGCTTTATGTTAATTTGTCTGGTCCGACTATGAAAAACTGGATTCTTAGCCATGACAATAGCTGATTTATTGTCACCAAATCAGCTGCTAAATACTCTCAATTGAAGATTATGGCACAATATCTTGCTTCCTTGAGCACCAAGAGATCACACACGAACCAAGGTTGAATACATAACCCGAAGTGCTCTTCATATCATCAACACTTCCGGCCTAATCACTATCACAATAGCCTTTAGCTTCAAGTTTTATAATTCTTCTCAAATCTGATTCCATGCTCCATGGTTCCCATGACATACCTTAGAACTCTTTTTGCTGCCCCAAGATATAAATGACTTGGTTTACACATGAATCTTAAGAGTAAACTAGAAGCAAACATCAAACCATGTCTTGAAGCTGTAAGACAAAAGATGATTCCAACCAAACTTCTATACATGCTTGCATCTACTAATATTCCACCATCGTGCTTATTTAATTTTTCATTCACCACTAAAGGAATATCAATAGGTTTGCAACCATACATGCCAAACTTTTTCAAAATATTTTCAGCATATCTTTTTTGACAAATAAAAACTCCATATTCATCTTGTAACCCTCAATACCAAGAAAATGATGTAGCAAACCAAGATCACTCATCTCATTTTTTCATCATTTCTATTTTAAAATTTTCATCCATTTTCTTGTTGTTACCTGTATACACCAAATCATCAACATAAAGAGAAATAAGAAGGATATCATCTTTACCTTCGTGCTTCACATACAAGGTAGGCTCACTTTGACTTCTTTGAAATCCTTGCTGAATGAAGTAGTTGTCAATTTCACTATACCATGCTCTAGGGGCTTGTTTCAACCCATAGAGAGATTTATTCAACTTGTAAACTTTTTACTCTTGGCCTTTAGTCACAAAGCCTTGAGGTTGCTGCACATACACCTCTTCTTTTAATTCTCCATTCAAGAAAGCTAACTTCACATCAAGTTGGTACAAATTCCAATCTTTTTGAGCGGCTAACACAGTGATTGTTCTCATGGTGTCCAAACGTGCAACCAGAGCAAAAGTTTCACTATAGTCAATTCCAGGCTGTTGTGCATAGCCTTTGGCTACTAATCTAGCCCTGGATCTTTGGATTGAACCATCTAGATTATGTTTCAATTTGTACACCCACTTTACTCTAATAACTTCTTTGTCATTTGGCTTTTCAACTAGCTGCCATGTGTTGCTCTTCTCAATTGCATTTATTTCTTCTTGCATCGCATTCCTCCAAACATCTTCTTTGATTGCTTCATCAATTTTTTTTGGTTCCACAACACAATTATTGCACCTTTTATAAATATCACTCAAATCCTTCAACTTTATTGGAGTTGAGCTGAGGGATGATGAACTTTAAATTTGTGAACTTAGAGAGGATGAATAACCTGGTGTACATGGTGTTGGTTGCTCATTTTCAGCTGCTGAATTTTTTTGTAATAAAATTGCAGGGACTGTTTTCTCCTTCATTTTATCTTCTTCCCAGTTCCAAGAAGTCTTCTCATCAAATACAACATCCTGATAAATGATCACTTTGTTTGTCTTCAAGTTATAAAGTCTATAGCCCTTTGACATGTAACTATAGCCAATAAAGACACATCTTTCACTTGTTTCTTCCAGCTTTGTCCTCTTTTGTTTAGGAATTTGAGCATAAAAAATACACCCAAAAACTTTAAGGTGGTTAACTGAAGGTGTTCTTCCACTCCAAGCTTCAAATGAAGTCTTATTCCATATAATATTTGTTAGGCAGATATTCAACAAGTACACAACAGTATTAACAACCTCGGGCCAAAAGATTTTAGGTAAACCTTTCTCAAGTAGCATAGACTTCACCATAGCCATCACAGTTTGGTTCTTTCTTTCAGATACACCATTTTATTGAGGTGTATAGACAACAGTGTGATGTCTTTCAACACACCTTCATCTTCACAAAAGTTGTAAAATTCAGTTGAGGCGTACTCTTTCCCCTATCACTGCTTAACATTTTTATAAATATACCACTTTGTTTCTCAACAAAAGCTTTAAACTTCTTAAAAATTACAAAAACTTTAGATTTTTGTCTCATAAAATATACCCATTTCATGCGGGTAAAATCATCAATAAACAAGATAAAGTACATGATTTTGCCATGAGACAAAGTATTCATAGGCCCACACACATCTGTGTGTACAAGTTCCAACACTTGTTTGGATCTCCATGCTCTTTTCTTTGGAAATGGTTGACGGTGGTGCTTGCCAAGCATACATCCTTCACACACACAAGATTTTTCTTTAATTATTGACAGCCCATACACCATCTTCTTTTGTTAAAGCAACTTGAGACTATTGTAGCTCAAGTGCCCAAGTCTATGGTGCCACAAACAAGGGTCATTATCTTATCTAGCCATCATGCTTAAATTTTTCTCATAATTAAGAGAAAGTGGAAAGCTTTAATTGCTGGTCATTTTTACAATAGCAATATTTCTTCTCTTTGAATCAAAAATTTTGCACTCTCGATTCTCAAAATTTAGAGAATAACCATGCTCCAAAAGTTGACCAATGCTTAGCAAGTTCTCATCTAACTCCGGAACAAAGAGTGTCATGAATGACTTTGCTTCCTTTCGTTGTTGTAACTCTAATGCTGCTTTTGCCTTTTACTTCAATTTGTTCTCCAATGCCCAATTTAACTTTTGAGCCAAATGATGAATCAATGTTGATAAAAGCTTCTTTCTTTCTTTCTGGTCATATGATTGCTACAACCGATATCCAAATACCACACATTTTTATCTTATTGAAATGTTTTTTGATAAGCAAAGAACAAATTACCTTCATCATTTCCCCTTCTGCAAATGAAACATGTTGTTGATTGGTAAAATGACAATCTTTTTTTAATATGCCCGAATCTCTTGCAATTGTGACATTGTGGTTTGCCCTTGTTCAAATAATCATTCTCGTCACGAGTGTTACTCTTACAAATTTTTCACCATTTATTTGATGCTCCTCTATGCCATCTTCCACCATTCGTGCCTCTTCCTCTTCCTCTTAGTTTCTTCCTCTTCCTCTTCCAAATCTGTCACCTCTAGAAGACTCACCTTTATTTTGTATTGGGGACTTATTTTCACCATTGTTGGACTGAATGTTAAGTTTAGATTGAAAGGAACTCTCAATTGAATTTTTAGAGTTTCGTAACAACCTTTGTTCGTAGGATCTCAAATACCTCATCAACCCTTGAAGATACATAGTTGATAGGTCCTTAGTTTCTTTTATAACAGGCACCATAAGATCAAATTTTTCTGTCAAAGCAATCAGAATTTTATCAACAATTCTGCGATCATCTATTGTATCTCCACGTGGCTTCATTTGATTCACCAATTCAGAGAGTCTATTAAGGTATTCATTCAAACTCTCATTCTCTTTCATTCTTTCATTTTCATAGTCTCTCTTAAGAGACTGAAGTTTCATAGTTCTCACCTTTGAGTCTCCTTCAGAATCTTGGGAAAATGGATAGAGAGACTCCTCTTTGAATCATCCCGAGAACTCTAGCATCTGTGATCTTCTTCTTCTTCTTCTTCTTCAATTTATCATGTCGTTGGCTTGATTCTTCAGCTTTTTCTTTTGATTCTCCAGCTTCTATTGGTGCTGGTTCTTCATACCCGTTTTGGACGAACTCCAAGACATCCAAAGAGGAGAACAAAGTCTCCATTTTAACAGCCCAAAAATCATAATTTTCTCATTCAAGCAAAGGAACTTTAACTTTGCTATAAGTTGCGGAAGAGTTGCTTGTGAAAGCCATAATTTTTGTTGTTTTTGCTACAACTACAAAGATCTGCAACTCTGATACCACACTGTTGATGGTATTCTAGAGATGATATATGATAAATTTTATTGTTGTAGAATTTAGAGTAAGAAAATATTTTTGAGTCACATTTTACACTAAACTTCCACTGATGGAGGTTGAGCTTTGAAATACCCTGATTTCTATTGAATTCACCACACACTTTTTTCTTTACATACAACTTAGCATTACAAAATAGGCTTGAAGAAAACTGAAAGATAAAACAATAAGTTAGTAATCAAAACGAAGACTCTCAGGTTCTCTCAATCTTAATGATACAACTCTACCATAAATCTAAATAAAAATAATAATTATAATGTGATTGTTACAATCATCTGATAATAGTAATTACAACACATTAATTTTAACAATACATACACTATACAAGACAAGAGATTATATAGTTGATGTTAGTTACAATTTGTGTAACTAACTTTGCAACAACTTTTGAACAATATCAACTACCAAAACTAAAGTAGTGATAATACTTCCAATAATTTTAATTATTGGTCAAACACCTCAAAGCCATTTGATAAGTAGGAAAAATAGCACTATTCATAACAAAAGCTCGAACAAGTGTTGCTCCTAATCCCCGCCATAACACAATTGAACCTTCTTCTTTGATTATCTTTAAGGTACAATCCAAGATACCTTTGTATTTCAATGAAGATGATGTTTGAGCCTGCAATCTAGTCTTTATAACATCTGTAGGATAGTTAAAAACCCAACTCGCAATCCCTGCTACTCCTCCTGCTATAAACATAGTATGCACGCTTTCTTGACAACTTTCTCTACAACCAGGGTGGAGTTTCTCCCTCGTGTACTCATATGCTACAAAGTAGGAGGCCAAAGCAGGTGCATCTCTAAGAACAGTGATGCCAAATCCTCGATAAATGCCACAAACACCCTCATTTTTCCAAATCTTCTCAGCCAATATCAAAGGAGTGCTCTTTTTGTTTTTTGAAAGATTCTCAATATTTTTTTGAAGTTGAATGCGAATTTTAACTAACTCAATAGGACACATCAATATACTTTGGAGAGCACCTGCACCGAATCCTCCTAAACCAACATTCACAAAGGAATGAGGTCCATTGGAAGAACCATAAGGGCTAAAAATCCTCGTAAAAACAGTATAACTTTGAAAAATTATAGCATTCTGCATGAAAAAATAAACAGTCGTCACATTTTGTATCAAGTAATATACTTAATACAATCTGAACACTTAAATCACATATTATAAGATACACAAAATATTTGTGGTTTTTTGAACAATATTTTTTGAAGACAAATATTAATTTTTAGAAATAAAAAAAGAAAAAAACAAATACAATTTAAAAAATCAATGTACCGTATAAATTTTAGATAAAAAATATTTTATTACCCGTGATGAAAACCGAAAAAAGAATTATAAAAAATAAAATAGTTTATTGAAATTATAAACTTTATAGAAAACTTATGAAAATAAAATAATTTATTGAAATGATAAACTTTTTGTTGGCAATATATTTCTTTTTAATGAATTGTTGTCAATATATTATTAATTATTTTAATTCAATGTGCATGAACCATTTCTTCTACGTAATCTTTTTATGGATATTAAAATTCAACAAACAGTAATTTTGCCATTTCTTCTACGTAATTTAAAGAGTCAATCTATTATAAAAAAAACAAAAGATTTTTGGTCAAATTTTGCCTTTTATTTTAAATGCAAAGTGACAAAATTTCAAGCCCAAACAGTCTTAGCTCTTAAGCTTGCGTTTTATAAGTTTTATTTTTGAAATTTTATTTAGCATTTCTTTTTTTGTCGATTCGCATTACTAAATTAGATTAAATCAGATAATTCGTTTGAATAAATCGATCTTTATAATAAAAATATATTTATTAAATCTGTCGAACTGAATGACTCGATATTTGAAAGATATTCTACCACCTACAAAATTTTAAAATTTCAAAATATGATAATTTTATATTATTTCTCAAAATTTAAATTCTAAATATGATCATCAATCACAACAAACTAATACAAAATCTAAATTAAAATAAATTTTGAATAAATTCATTTCGTAAATAAGGAAAAACTGATTCAAATAAATTTTGAGTAAAATATAATTATATTTTTATTTTTTTAAATAATCAAAACAATATCGTTTTGTCTAAAAAAAATCATGTATTTGACTCGTTAGTTTTCTAAAATTGCTCGTCCACCGGTTTTTATCAATTTTGACTAGTTTTTAAACAATTTTCATTGATTCAATAGCATATTCGATCCAATAATCAGATCAGATTAATAAGTCTTTTGATTTTCAATTTGATTGTTCTGATCAATTGATTCAATCTGATTATTAAAATACTGCTTAAATTCCTCTTTGAAGTTGGATTATATATAATAAAATATAAAATACTATTCACACCAATTTCTTACATCACTATATTTGATTAATATGTTTTGATGTTAAAAAGTAATTTTGAATGTAAAAATAAATTTGTTTAATAAAGTGTAATAGATTGTTTAATATAATTCATAATATAGTTATTAAATAGTCTGATTTAAAAAAATAAAGTCATGATAAATTAACTTTGGTTATATATATATATATATATATATATATATATATATATATATATATATATATATATATATATATATATATATATATATATATATATATATATATATATATATATATATATATATATATATATATATATATATAATATATATATATATATATATATATATATATATATATATATATATATATATATATATATATATATATATATATATATATATATATATATATATATATATATATATATATATATATATATATATATATATATATAATATATATATATATATATAATATATATAATATATTAATATATATATATATATATATATATATATATATATATATATATATATATATATATGTCAAAGTATTATAATTTGTATATATATATATATATATATATATATATATATATATTTTAATAAAGAAAAGTATTTTTAAAAATTTAAAATAGTTTGATTAAAATTTATTGTTTAAATAGGAAGTATTGTTAAAATAATAATAAAATTTAAATATTTTGTTTAAATTATGTTTAAGAAAATTTTGAATTTTTTTATTCAAATTATATTTTGTTCAAGTCATACAAATAATTAAATAAAAACATTTTCAAACTTGGAGAAGACGAGTATGTCATCGACAATTTTTGTGACAATAAATAGGTGAAGTCGATGGATGTGTTTGGACTTGGGTCAATACTACACCTTCCATATCAAAAGATATTTTATTTATATTTTTTCTTTCTTTAATTAATTGGCGTGCGCTTATGTATTATAATGAAATTATTAAAATTAGGAGTACACGCAAATTGATTTGACCTGCCTATTTGAATTATTTTTGTTTAAAAATAGAATACTTTGACATTTATGCTAACAAGTTGTGTAGAGCAGATATGTAATTGGGAATGATAAATATATTGGTAAAAAATCAATTTTAAGATAAAAATATTTATTATTTCAGCAAATTTTGATTTTTCTTGCTATAAATTATTATTTTTTATTTAATCTTTTAATATAATATTTGTTAATTTTTTCTCCTTCGATCATTATCCATATATATTTTTAAAATAAATTTATATTACCTCTAACATTTAGACAAGTTTAATCTTCAAATTTAATGATTATACACGAAAAATTGAAATACAAATATATAAAAGTGTTAGACAAAAAGATCAAGTCTAAATTGAAGT